CCACCTCCCCTGGAGTGTTGCTGTGGGAAAAGCAATCTTTACCTGCCAGCTCCATGCACTTGTGGGTCTGAAGTGATATTTTTTGCTAATGCTCTCTGCGTACGCTGAGCTGGGAGATGCCCCTCCGCCAGTCCTCCCACCCCACAAAGAATCTCAGACCGAGTTAGGATGTCTTACCACGTGGGTCCTACAACAACCCATGCACCTTATAACCTGGAGCACTGTTTGCTGTTAAATGAGCAGTAGGAGTCCCTCAAGAGTGAATTTATGGCTCTGAGAGGTGCAGAGGGAGATGCTGGCTGCTTGGCAGAGGCTGTGAGCAGAGGCTTGCCACCTCTGGGTGCCCTGCATGAAAAGAGGGTGCAGAGAGCATCCCTGACCTATACCATTGGAAATCTTCAGGTCCCAAACAAAGTACCTAAGGTGAAAGGATGAAAATGCCAGGAAGTGCTTTGGGTCTGGATATGTCAGAGCTTGATGAGGCTATCCTCAGCACACTGTCTCTGCTTTCACACCCAATCCTTTCCTTCCAGCCAGGGCACTTCCCACACGCTCCATGCTCAGAGTCTGGCCACTCTAATTACCTTCATCTTCTTTTGTTTAAAAGGGAGTTTTCAAATGAAGAACAAAGAAAACGCCTTTTTTTGTGGTACAATCTCTAAGCCTGGAGCTCTCCTGTGGTTTGAGCGGTACTTTGTGCTAGCCCTAGGGCACACTCTGTGTGACACTGTTGCACCAAGTGGTTCCTGCTCAGGGGAAATCATGTCACCAAGCATAAACTGGTGGCCGCCATCCATGGTCCAGGGCTGAATTTGTGTGTGATGCTGCTATGTGCATGCTGGGCTCGGGGCATCTGTAGCCTGTGGGGCTGGATTAAAGGTTCTTCAAGTCATCACCAATCTGTTTTTTGGGATGAGTGTACATGCTGTATCTAAGGAGATAGGATTGTCTATTGATGCAGAGCCTCAGGCACCTCTTCTCCTATCAGCTACTGAAGCTAAACGGCTCTGGAATGGGCTTTATAGCCCATTTCACCCCTGTGTGCTGCTTCAGGGGTTGGGATACTCAAAAGACTGGGATGGAGAGAGCTGTGGCGGAGCTGGAGCCACTTGGATGGAGCAGATGAGGTTATGTGAGGCCTGGAAATCTTCGTTTCAAGCCCCAGTGCTCTTCTGCCAAGTGCTGTGTCCATGTTTTGCGTGTCTGCTCTCTGACTGATACTGCTTTGGCAGGAGGGCCCCGGCTGCTCTAACTTGCTCTTCCCTGCCTCCCCAGGTATGAAAGGCTTGGAGTGCTCGCCCTCCACTCCCACCATGAACTCCTACTTTCACAAGTTCATGATCAACCTGCTCAAGCGCTTCAGCAGCGAACGGAAACTCCTGGAGACCAGAGGACCCTTCATTATCAGGTCAGAGCACCCCACCAGCTCACCAAAGCCCACCGGGAACCCCCTGGGTGGGGTGGGATGGGATGGGGAATAAGTCAAAACCTTTTCCACAAGCCTCCCTCAATCACTGGTACACTATTTCAGTGCAAATGAGATTTGCCCTTCACATGTCAAGGCACCATATTACTCACTCCAATCCCCAGAGGCAATGTAGCTCCTTGTTAAACATCATTGTCAGAGCCTGTTTTGTTGAGAAACAACTAAACCAGCCAGAGCATGAAGCCAGGCTTGTAGTTGGGGTGCCAAGTCAAGTGAATCCCTACACCCAGCTTGTCTTGATGCTCCTCCACCAGCAAAACCCTCGTCCCCCAGAGCTGCATGTTTCGATGCACAGGCTTGGTAGATTTTGCTTTGGCTTTTCAAGGAGCTATGGTAAAGGCTGGTAAGCCACGTGTCATGGCAGCTGGCTGGGCATCGTCTTTAATGCAGTGAAATCCAGGGCAAGGGACACCATTTCCTCAGCTCACTGGGAAGTAACGGGCTTAATTGTTTAGAAATCAATGAGGAGGTTGGTGGGGGGAGTGGGCAGGAGTCCGGGCTTTTCTCCCTTGCTTTCAGGGAGGTGACATCAAAACAAACATAGGGAGAGTATGAAACCCAAGCCCTTCTCCTGTGAGAGAAGAGAGGCCTCTCCAAAGGTGGAGGGGAGCACAAGGTACTGATGGGGTGCATCTGTCCCTGCAATTGCAAAATAAAGCATGCAGAGCTCTCTCTGCTAAGCTGAGCCAGGGATTGAGTTGGGCAGCAATTTGTGCCCAAGCCTTTGGCCAGCCCTAAAGCTGCTGGGTTCATCCTGTGAGTGGTAAGCATCAAGGCAATGTGTTGCAAAAACAATGAAAGGGGACCAGGGCAGGGATGCAGCTGCTGTTTGGGCTGAAGATGAGAATTACAGAGCTTTCCCCCCACTTATATTAAATTTTAATGTAATATGTTCCATTTGTTCCCAGAAAAATCTAGCTGAGCATATGTTTTGTTTCTGCCGATAGGAGTCTGGAAATGTTGGGTTTAATATATGGCTCTGAGAGGTGCAAAGAGGTACATATGGGGATCTAAGAATAGGCGAAAAACAAAATCCTAGCATCGCCACTCTTCCCAGTCAGCAGGGCCCTGGATTTGAGCAGCCGCTGCCAGGGGAAGTAGCCCTATTCTCTGTTAATGGAGCAGGGCAATTAGAGCAATAGGGACCCATTTAGAGGCTCTCCCATATCATGGCCACTTCAAATCTTTCCCTCTGTCTCTGGCAGGACAAACTGGGCTGGCGGGCCCAGCTTTCCCAGCAGCCAACCAGCAGTGTGGCAGGACTGTCTCACAGCAAGTCAGCATGCTGGGGCTTTGTACAGTGATTCAGGACCTAAATAATCCAGTAAAGTAAAAAAATATATATATGTATTTATACGATTGTGTCCTTTGTCAAGTCATGTTGTGGATAATGGGGAGTAGATGCAGGTCTAGAGCCAAAGAGGTGGTTCTGGGAGGGGTGAGCTATGCCCTCAGGTACTAGCGATTAACTCTGAAACCTACTGATGGCAGTTGAAGTGCTGGTGTTAGCTACATCTCTGCTGACTCAGGAAAAGGCAAGATGGGAATAGAGGAGGAAAATATACAGGGTTCTTCAGGAAAGATTGATCCCAGTGAACATGGGAGCCTCCTGGTGCTATTTTTAGCCATGTTTCCAATTGAAGCTGTATGTGAGTTCCCACATTACGTCCCTCCCTGTCCACAAGCCAGCTCAGCTGTTTTGCAAGCAGGGTGAGAAGCCAGCATCATGTTTGACTTGGGAGATGCTGGTGGTGATTCATCCTGGGCTGGAGAGCACATGGGGATGCTTGAGAGACCAGGACAGCATGGGCTAAAGCATGGTCCTCCCCCACCACTGGCCTTTGCTCCCTTTGTCCCCATCATCTTCCTCTCCCCTCCAGGACCACTGCTGCCCATTTCTGCTGCTGACCGACCTGGGAATGGCAAAGCAGGGAAGGAAAATAGACCTGTTAAATTTAGGCATTGATTTCCAGCTGCAGGATTAGCACACAGGGGAAAGGGAAATGGGGGACAAGGAGTTTATTCAAGCACAGCACAGCAGTTTTCCCCATCACATTGTCAGTGCACAAGTTCAAAGATCCATGAGGTTAGGTGGAGGGTCTGTGGTTAAAGGTAGTTTATTTCTAACTGAACTTAAGCTTGTTCATGTCTGGTTGCTGATTCTGACAGGACTTTAGTTTCTCTCCTGATACGGCCTCACAGTCCCAGAGGCAGAGGCTGTAGTTACATTGTGTGCTTGAGGACATGAGTGTGGTTTGAGCATTGAGCTCTGCAGGAGCCTGTGGAGATGGGGCCATCTCTTGCTTTATAGGGACCTGTGATTCCCAAGACATGCAGAGCTGCTCTGGTGCCTGCCTGACATTGGGAGATGGGTGGGAGAAGCACCCACAGCCCTCCCAGTAAGAGCTCACCTCTGAGCCTGGCTCGGGCAGAGCTGGGGGATGATTTCGTGCTGTCACTGTCAGTGACCCCGGTCCCAAGCTGGGTATCTTGAGATGCCAAAGAAGACAGGGTGGAGCTAAATGGAAACAAACTGCCTTTAAAATAACAGGCAGACAGCTCCAAAAGTTTCTGTTGCTCATGAGGAAGAACCCAGAATATTTCTTCTCCCTTGCCTGGGATCACCGTGGTGGGGGATAACCCAGCGCTGGCACACAGTCCATGTGCCAGTGCTGCTGGTACATCTAAGAGGTGCCTTTGGTCTGCTGCCTTTCCAGGCATCACACACACAGGAGGTGTGATGCCTCCTCTGTGCCACCACCCAAGGAGACCTCACGGAGGCAGAGGTTATGGCTACAGGCTAAACCCTGGCAGGATCAGAAGGGTGACATCCAGGAAAAGGTTCTTCAAAGCTGCTTAGATACCTCATGAACACCTGGGTGAGGATCTTCTTTGTGAATGGATGTGCTGGAGGGATGCTCCTTTTCCACCCTTCTGTTGAGGAACCACAGAGGTGGCAAACCTGCCTCCATGGTCTCTTCCAAGGACTTTTTTTGGGCTGGCATCAGTTTTCTGCATCACAGCTGATGGGGGTTTCCTTTGGGGTTCAGTCTCTCTCACTGTCACTTGCGACTTTTTTTAGTTATTCCACCTCTGAAACTCAGAATTCAAAGTGCTGCCTTCTCCTCTCGAGCCAGGCATGTTTGCACCCAAAGATGGCTCCCAAAGGGTTGTCCAAGGCAGGAGCATCAGCCATCACTCAGTGTTAACCTCTCACCTTGATGAGCAGACCCTTCCAACCTTATCACAGATTAGGAGCTATCTGCCCTAGCTGGCACACAGCCGTCCTGGATTCATCAGAGCCCTTAAGCAAGAAGCAACTATTCACATTCAGCTGCTGGCCTCCAGACGATGGCTTGGAGCAGCAGAAAAATGCGGAGGAGCTTCCAAAGCATCACATGGTCCCTTGGAGCAGGAACCCTGTGGAAGGAAAGCAGTTCAGCCGGTCTGGAGGCAGGCAGCAGAGTGGCACTGAGCTCTGCAGCTCACACAGTTTTAATAGGCTGGATTTAACGATTGGTTGTTAGTACCAGCACAAGGGGATGGGGAGATAAAGTGAGAGGCTAAACTGTACCCCACTGACAGTCTAAGGATAGGGCTGGCTGCTCTAGCAGCTTAGCCTTGGAACGAGCCATCTTCTTCCCTCTCATCCCTCCTGAGGGCTGGTTGTGCAGTTTAGCTCACTAAGCCCAGCCTAGCGCCAAAGCAGCTGGCTTTTTGCTGCTCTCTGAGATGGAGCAGCTCAGACATTTGTGGCTGATGTACCTTGCTAGGAGAGCAAAGGTAGTGGCTGGAGACACACGTGTGTGCATTGTGTGTAGATGCTTTGAAGTGTGGGGCTTAATTTTTAAGCGCAGAGAGGCTGTTTTCTTGGTGAACAATGGCACCCTGGGGCAGGATATGATGCCTGAGTCACCACTTTGCTGCCTGGGCAGGGGCCTGTGTGTAGCAGTTGTTTCAGCTTGTTTTATAGAGCTGTTAAATAAATCTCCCTGCTGCCTAGCACCTTCTGATGGGGAGTTTTCTGAGGTTAGGCTGCACGGAAAGGGGCCCTGGGGCAACTTTTCAGCCACCTCCTGCACAGTACACCTGGTGGGGGTTTGCTGTTTGACTGGGGTTGGGATGGTCCTTGGTTTTTGGGGGGATGCTGGAACCCTGTGGTGGATGGCCAGGAGGGGTGGGCTGGTTCTCCATCTGCTCTGGAAGAACTAGGCTGGAGCAGGTCAGGTTATTCAGTCATGGCATTAGCTGAGGAGGTGGAAAATCCCAAGTCTTGTGTTTGGGCCATGGGTTAATGGCTCCTGCAGATGGGAAGAGTTCACCTGCCTAGAAATCCTGGCTTTTCTTTGAGGTGTCAAAGTCTTGCTAGGATGAGGCCAGTGGAGAGCAGGACAGGGAAGAGAGCAGAACTGGGGATGAACACCAGCATGTCACATTGGGTACGTGAAGGGCTTTATGGTGATGCCCTTGGCATGGGGCTGGTGTGGCCTATCCATCCTTTCTGGACAGGAGGGGACTTTTTTGCCCCTGACAGAGGCTGAGGCTGACCACACAACACTCCTTTCTCCTCAAAAAGTAGGGAAAAACAAGCTAAGTGTGTTTGAACCTGCTAACTGGGATGAGGAATTGAGAGGGGTGGAGCAGAGGAGCAGGGGGCCAGCATGTGCCATGGAGCACAGGCATCCATCTGATGCTCTTGGCAGGCAGGCAATGAGGAGCATGTTAAATCACTTTTTGCTCAGCCTGCGTGGCATTCCCAGGGCTGTGCTGTGTCTGGGGGAGCAGGAAGGAAAGGGCAACCTGCCAGCATTCCGTGGGGAGGGCTCTGGGAAGGGAGTGGGGGTTTAGCGGCAGGCTTGGGTAGCAAGGGATACACTGGGAGTCCTGTACAGAGCTGGTGGGTGTCTGCTTTGGTGGCAAGA